CGCAAAAAATAAACTCATGCGAAACAACTATAGTCATTAATAAAAGTAATGAAGTACTTGTAATGTGTATGAGATATAACAGGTGTTATTCCCCATAAATCACTATGAATCATTTCAAAATGATGATTGATATTTGATTGATGAATTGGAAACGGTAGAATTTTACTTTTACCAAGTTTACAAGAAGGATAGTCAAATTGAACAACACTAAGAGATGGGAAATTTTTATTGCCAAGAACACCAGATTTCATCAATTCATGAAGTTCATTGAAGTTTGGGTGACCAAGACACTTATGCCATATTTGGAAATTAACAGTTGCAGAATTACAAGACAACCAGATTTTGAGAATTCAACTTTGCAATTATTGTCAACTAATTGACCAACTAAAATAAGGTTTATTGTGTGATCAAGGGAAACATAAACATTGGTAAGAGATGAGGAGATATCACCAATTGTTGTGATAGGTTAATTGTTTCCATCTGCGGCGTGTATTTGCAAATTACTAGAGTAATTGGTAACATTGGAAAGGGCAGCAACATTGTTGGTCATATGATTAGATGCACTAAAGTCAAAATACCAAGGAGAGATAGGTAAAGAAGTTTTACCTAAAAGACCCAAAGTAGAAAATGCTGAAACGATCATTTGTTGAACCATTTCAGGAGTTGAAGTAGGCACAGAAGTAGGAAGATTCTGATCCACAGAAACAAGATTAGTAGAAGAACCAATAGAGGCAATAAAGGTTGTTGCATTTCTCCATGGTGGCCAAATTTAACAGTCTTTCATGATGTGACCTTCTCTTTTGCAGTAATTGCAAAACTTTTTAGGACAGTAAGAAGCAAAATAGCCGAGGCCTTCGCAACAAAAACATTTGATAATACCTATGTTTCGTCCTCAAGGTCTGCTTTGTACTGCATATGCCACAAGAAGAGAGAGATTTTTATTGTTCCAAATGCATCTGAGTGAGGAGACGTTGTTCTTCACAAAGCAATTCATTTAGGCATTCATCTAAAGAGGGGACAGTAGCCCTATTCATTAGGTTGGTCCAAACGCCCTCAAAATCATATCTCAATTTCATAAGAAATTGACTTTGTTTTGTGGTGTCATGAACATTTTGGACTGCAATTTGTCCTTCAGTTGACAGATCTCTATAAATAATGTCAATATATTCATTCCAAAGATTCATGAAATGTGAATAAAATTCAAAAATTGAGAGACTATCCGGTTGAAAAATGGTAATTTCATGTTCAAGTTGGAATGAATATACTAACATTGTTTATAGAGATTTGTCAACTGAAGGACAAATTGCAGTCCAAAATGTTAATTGATCTCGTTTTGTGGTGTCATGAACATTTTGGACTGCAATTTGTCCTTTAGTTGACAGATCTCTATAAATAATGTCAATATATTCATTCCAAAGATTCATGAAATGTGAATAAAATTCAAAAATTGAGAGACTATCCGGTTGAAAAAGGGTAATTTCATGTTCAAGTTGGAACCTGGGAGCAATGTTGTTTTGGTTATAAATTTTCTTTAGATATTCCCACATCTTTGTTGTCGTGGTGAAGGGTCTGAGATTGAGGACAATATTAGACTCAACTGAGTCGATGATCCAAGTCATAATTTCGTGATGTTTTGGTAATACTTCGAAGCTTGTTGCCTTTGACAAAGATCTAGAATTGAAATGCGCAGGTTGAGTAGTTCTTTCCATTAAGGCGTGACGTGAATAGTGTGCATTGGGAACAGTGCACAATGAGAATAGTATCGTGCAAGAGATTGGAACTAGGAACATAGAGACTAGGATGTAAGAGAGTGGAACTAGGAAAACATAGATTGGGAGTGCAACGAAAAAAAAAACTAGGTTTGAATCATAATCGAGACTAATACCATGTAAAACTTAGAGAAATTGAGGTGAAAATTTTTCGTGGAAATTTTGTATGCTCTCCTCCGAAGAATTCTCTATTAAATAATAAGATTCCAAACTGATATATAGCCTTGGGCTTGCTAAAAAAATGCTAACCTACAATTGGGCTAATTAAGAATATAATTACATAATTACAGTTATACAATCATGTAAGACATATTGTTTTAAAGGGTCAGCAAATTGACAGAAATAATGTCAAATAATCTATCATCAATTCTATTGACATTTACAACCATGCTACATTTGGGGAAGGGAATGATCATTTTAATTGTTTTGAAATTGAAAGTCATTTACCCCACAAGAATCATCTCCTAAAGTCAATTTTTGTGATTAAGAACACCAGTATACAAGAATCTCTATAATTACAGCTAGGAAACCGTAGGGACATCTTAGACTTAATGACCATAATTACAGCTAGGAAACCGTAGGGACATCTTAGACTTAATGGTCATTAAGGTATCAAGTTTTTCCTTTTCAATTCATTTTGAGTTATGTTGTAGTAATTGTGAATTTGTGGATTAGACTTATCTATGTTATCAATATGATAAAACTAAAAGTGTTGTCTGAATTAAAATTGCAAAGAGGTTTAAGAAACCACAAATTATAATGGAAATTTTGCTTAAACCATAAAATTTTGCTTTCATAGTGCTGCTATATTATTTGCAAATTTGCATACATTCAATGCTCAATTGGCAATTAAAGGCATCCTTAATGAAAAAGCAAAATGTGTTTTAGGTCCCTTAATTTTTTGGTCCAAATTCGTTTTAGTACCTATATTTTAAAAACAATGATTTTGGTCGTCGTATATTTGATGATTTGAGTTTCTTCCTTTATAGAAATTAGTATACTTGAGTGAGACACAAAAATCGCCAATTATAAAAAATACGAGGACCAAAATAGTCACTTTTATAAGTACACTAAGACTGATTTTGACCAAAAAATTTGAGGGACTAAAACACATTTTACACAAAAATGGATAAAATTATCCTAAATTGCCTACAATATATCCTTGGTGATTAATGTCCTCGATGAATTCCTGAAAGTGACACCCATTAACTTGAAGATTCTAGGTAGCCCAATCTGGTCTAAGTGATTGTAAAAAATCAATTAAAAACAAGGATGACTCATTTTGAGACTTTGATTACCTAAACCCAACAAATCTATATTGACAAATAATATAATGATGGGAGCATGAAATTATATTATCCACCAAGTTGTCTTTGGAGAAAGACTTAGTGATGGTATCAAGTAATCGTTAATCAAGTTAGTTTCATAAAACTAGTTAAAACCTACACTAATATATGGGTCCGATATGCATATTGTGATTCATTTCTAGATTCAGGATAAAACTGAATCTTATTTTGCATGTGGTTGCCACATTTTTTGCCATTGCTTTTAGTTGATTGTTGGAGAAAAACAACAACTATAATGTACAGGTAAAACACATAACATTAGCATACTTTACCAAAAGTTGCATGGTTAAGTATTTACGGTCTATTATACAAAATGACATTAAAATAAAGAGATGTAAACCATAGGAATTCAAGTGGGATGGATCAAATCAAAATAATTTGGGTATTGTCTATAACAAAATGGTACCACTCAAGTTGAAGAAAAAATATATTGCAATATTTATAAGACCTGTAATGATGTATGGAACTAAATGTCAAGCACTAAAAAAGCAAGAAATATGACCCAGTAAGGAGAGTAAATCACATATTCGCATGAAGGGTAGCACAACCACTAGAGTTAGAGGGAGACCAAGAAAAAACATTGATGAAACTATTAAGGTCAATAGGTTGTTTATAAATATGATTTATGACAAGACATTATGGTGTCATTTAATTCATATAAACATTATTTGTTTATATGGCAGGTAAAGGCTTGATTGTTTGCTATTTTTAATAATCAAATTTAGTTGTTCTATTGCAATTTTTCCTTTTAGACACCCCTCCACAAAATAAATAAAAATACAAGTCTGCTTTATTATTTCATGTGTTTTGAATACACTCCTATGGGTTATTGTTTGGGTCTATCTCTGATTGCATGATGATAGAAACAACTAACCCAATACGCAGTTTATTGATGATAATCTCTGGGGAAATGTTCCCAAACAGAGATAAAAGAAATAATAGATCAAGATTACATGCAAAGAGAAGGATATGGTGTATGAACAAAACCTCTAGGAGTTCGACAACCTAGCCTCTCCCAACCAATTCCCAACTGAATAATTATACCATTTCCCCTCCCCATTACTTTGCTATTTATTAGTTACAAGTATTATAAACTATAGGCTCCGACCCAATTGTGTTAATGGGCTTCCTCCTACTATAGGTCTATGACAAACAATACTTCCCCCTAACGGTTTCACCTTGTACTCAAGGTGTAAATTGCTTCTTGATGACCTATGTTGATTCCCAAGTGGCCTCAAATGTCTAAAGATCTTTCCATTGAATCAACACTTCAGCTAATCTAGATGGGCTGTTTCGAGCTGCAACTACTGTTACTGGTACAACATGTAATTGTAGGTCCTCTGCTAACATTCTAAGCCTTGGTTGTAGAGTAATTGAGGAAGCTACTTGATACAATACGTATCAGAGGTACCTGTAATTGAAAGGAAATAACAAAATAGAAAGAAAGGAGAGAAGTTTCCAAAGAGCAAGCTCTCCCAAGCAAAAGAGGAATATCCCTCTCCTCCAAATTATCGCTCACAGATCCCCAGATGTCCAATCATTATTTCAAAGGGAATATATAACCAACCTCCACTCTCTTCTAATAGAATTAGCGATTCTCCAAAATACCCCTCCCATACTAACAACAATTCCACTAAACAGAAATACCATTAAACATTCACTTGCTTATTAATCTTGGGCCTCCGACTATAGACCTGAGTGGGCTTGGTCCACTTGAAGGAATGGTTTATATCAGTACCACCTTCACCAAGAGGGGATACATGAAAGTCTGGATGGATCCTACTCTATGAGGGGCAATTCCAACTGGTAAGCTAAAGCCACTTGCCCTGTGAACTTCACCACCTGATATGGACCATAAAATCGCGGACTAAGATTCTCATTTCTCATTTTAGCCAAACATTTCGACCTGTAAGGCTGCAATTTGAGATAGACCCAATCTCATCTGTTCTTATCAGCATAAGCTTTCATTTGATTCTGGGCTTTGGCTATGTTCTCCTTCAACTCTGTTAAAATAGTGTCCCTGTCAACTGTCATGTTATTAACTTCTACTGTGGAAGGAATTGTAGTACCCTTGAAAAGTGGTGGTGGATCTCTGCCTTATAGAGCCTTAAAAGGGGTGCTTTTAGTAGAGCTGGTGTAATTTGTATTGAACTAGAATTCAGCCCAACTCAACCAATTTGCCCATTGTTTTGGCTTATACCCGGTTAAACACCTTAAGTATGTCTTGAGGCACTTATTGACAACCTCAGTCTGCCCATCAGACCGTGGATGATAAACAATGCTAAACTTGAGTTTTGTTCCGACCAAGCAGAATAGTTCAGTCCATAGAAGACTGAGAAAAATCTTATCTTTATCTAATACAATAGTGGAAGGAAACCTTTGGAGCTTGACCACATCTTTAAGGAAAACCTTTGTAATATCTCGGGCGGTGAAAGGGTGATTAAGAGGAATGAAACTAGTATATTTAGTAAGCCTATCCACTACTAATATTATAGCATCTTTGCCCTATGATTTAGGGAGACCTTCCACAAAATCCATGGAAATGTCATCCCAAACTTGTGTTGGAATGGGCAGGGTTGGAGGAGGCCTGCCCGGAATAAAGGATACTTATTCTGCTGGAAAACCTCACAAGTAGCTACAAATTGCTGGATGTCCTTCCTCATGCCTTCCCAATACACCACTGCCGATATCCTTTAATAGGTTCTAAAAAATTCAGAATGACCTTCAACTACAGAATCATTAGATTCCCTTAACAAAAGAGGAATTTTCTGGGATCCCCTTGGCAAGACTAGTCTCCCTTTGTGCATCAATTTTCTCTTTTGAAAAGAGAACCCTGGGTGGGTAGTTGAATCCTTGAGTTGGTCTTGTATAATAGTCTTCAATTTACTATGTGCTTCTTCTTCCCATTCTTCTAACTTTGAAAACTCAATTTTTGATATGGCAGCATATGTCATTCGTCTAGATAAGGCATCTGCAGCTATGTTTTCACATCCAGGTTCATACTTGATTTCGAAGTTCCAGTCCTATCACAATTTGGAAGTCCATCTGAACTACCTAATACTCTTTGATCAGTCAGAAATTTGAGACTTCTCTGATCTGTATGAAGGATAAAATGTCTTCCCATCTGACTAACACATGATTCCATACAATTCACTTAAATATTATCAATGGTTCTTTGTTTTTCTTCTGCTTCTGTACTCTTGTTCCCCATTCCCCTCCTTCAAAAGAAGAAAAAATATGTTCTGTCTTAACATCTTTTTTTCTGGATATTTCATTTCTCTCTTGGCTTCCACTTGATAACAGAATAGAGTTTGTGATACCTGTGCGGAGGGCGATGTTTACTCCAATCTCATTGTTTGTCACAAATTCCATGTTGGTGCAGAGCACTTGTAAATATTTTAATCTCTTGTGTGTTCTTTGATCTGCATGTCTATATAGTCCTTTTTCTCTTGCTTTATGAGGAAGTAAAATTGCTGTTTCTCATTCATCAACCAGTTACTTTATGCATTATGATGAGCAATCAGAACTAAATGCAAAGCTAAAAAGATCGTAAAGATTGGAAATGTCAAGTGTGCATTCCGAGGGAAGGTACTGACAAATTAGTGCAAGATGATGTTGAAGTGGCTGCAAGAAGAAAGAAAGGGCGTCCATTTGGAAGTTCAACAAACTGTGAATCTAGTAAAGGTTCAAAATTAAAAATTAGATCTTCATCTGCTGGAAAAAGTGGGGAGAATAGTGCTCACTTATCAGCTAAAAGATATCAAGTCCTTTTAAGTGAATGTGTCATGAAAAAAGCCAGGGACTCTCCACTTTCTGAGGATGTATCGAACAAAAAAATTAAAAAATCAAAAATTAAATCTCTGAATGAAATTATTTGTTTCATTCCAGAAATATCTAATGGTGAAACTTCATTTTCTGGACCCAGTTTTTGCAATATTGATGCTGTTAAAAGTTCTGGACAATCGGATCATAGATTACGGGCAAGCAATCACAACACTCATAAAGACCCCAACTGTCCAAATGAAAAGAACAAAAGTGTGAACCAGCAAGGTGAACAGACCACAAAAGCTGCTACAGCCATGAGCATATATAAATTACGCATCAACCCTGCTTCTGATGAAGGGACATGCTCGAGAGACTCGGTGCAGGTTGAGACAACATTTCTTTCACAGGATGTCGTTCCAGAGGCCGATTCTTCGTGGCTGTATGACCCATTTTATTTCTCTTCAGTTTAACTATTTAGTTTTGCTTTAAGGGTGTACAAATTTGAATTTTTTGTGTATTTGTATTCATGCAGGGGCAAGTTTCAGATACACAGCAGTGAGGGGATTGTAGGGACATGGGATGGGATTCAAGCTCACTTATCAAATTGTTCATCATCTATAGTTGTCAAAATGGCGTCTAGGCTTCCTAAAATAATTATACTGGAGGAACTACCTCGCTTGAGGCTTTGGCCATCCCAATTTATGGCAAATCGAGTCACTGAAGATAATATTGGTCTCTTCTTTTACACACGTGATGATGATAGGTTTGTTGGGCATTTCTTTTGTACTAACAAGCTTGGTTTTATACCGTCTACTCATATGTATGTCTTTTTCCAGCTATGTATGTTATAAACAATTGGTGGATCAGATGATCGAGAATGATTTGGCACTTAAAGGAAATGTGGATGGGATTGAGCTTTTAATTTTTCCATCTAACGTTCTTCCTGAGAGATCCCAGCGTAAGAAACTCTTTTAGTTGTATATATTTTAGTTTTAACTACATTAACATTTTATGTTTATTTTTGTCTCTCTATTACTATCACTCTTCGGTGGTACTTCTTACATTCTAACTACATTAGCAGGCTTCTAGCATTCATTTTTCTAATTTTTTTCCGTGTTACTTGTTTGTGCTTGCAGGTTGGAATCGAATGTTCTTCTTGTGGGGTGTATTCAGAGGACGGAAGGTGAATATCTCAGCTACCACACCAGTTTCAAATTCTCTTAAGGTATTGACATGCGTGGAATTTCTTTACTCGCTGTTTTTGACCAACAAAGATATATGTCTTTTCTATCACTTAAATATTGATTGAGACGGGATAATACTTCAAAATACTAGATGATCATATTTGTTTGTTATATTCATATGTTGATTGTTTATGACATTTCTCTCTAACAACCACTCCACCAAATTTACTTTTTGTCTGTTTCTTTTGAAACACAATTGATACCGTTGCACCATAAAATTGCATATTCAGTCACCTATCATAGTCAAGTAAAAAAAATAAAATAAAATATTAAAAATAAAAAAAATAAAAAGCCTACGTTAAGAGTGACATAATAAACTATGACAATAATTTGGATATACATGTTTCTGCAAAACTATGCAGATGTAAACAGAGCTAATGCATACTTACTGTCTTGCAGCTAGATAATGGAGATGCTGCGAAAGGTTTGCCATTTGATCTCAATGCTTATCCTCAAGATGGAGATGATGAGGAAATAGTTGATAAAATTCCTGAATTTGACCTCAATGCTTATCCTCAAGATGGAGATGACATGGAAATAGTTGATGAAAAACCTGAAATTGATGGCATAGGTGGTTCAGGAGAGAGAGTTTTGGTGGTTGGAGAGAATTCCAATAGTAAAGGTGGAGAGGTAAATGCAGAGCGAGCGGTTATAGATATTAACGTTCCATTGTGTCCTGAAAGTGGAACACCAGAAAATGGTTCTGGTTCTGTTGGGGTTGAGGACAATAATAATGTTGAAGTTCCATTAACGTCACTCCCTCATGCACCACCTTCAACAATTCTGGATCCAATCGATTGGAAAGCTGTGGATGATTTGATCTTTTTCTCTAAGGGAAAGTTTTGAGTGTGGCATTTGAAGAACACCTTTATAGTTACCCTTTTGTGATGGGGTCACTGGATCACAGTTATATTATATCAATAATTTAACCGTGAGGATAATCTGGACCCGGATTGGCAACTTGTGGATACTTGGATCTTTTTCTGTTGGGATGAGTCTTGAATGGCTCATGGGAAGAACCCTTTTAATTATCGTTACTCTTTTATGCTGCGTCGCTGGATCACAGTGATTTTAATAATCCGTTCATGAACATCAGAACCTCGAATGGAACATGAAACATGACTTGCTTTCCTTTTATTGGTTCTTTTTATTTTCTGGCTCATTGCTTTTTGGTGCATATGGAGTGGCCTGTGAAATCTTCTCATCTGGGATAAATTTTTTCTTTAAAGGTGAGCCTGGCCCAATTTTAAACGTCATTGGTCTGAACTAATTTTTTTCTAAGGTCTGAATCGGATATGGTCACTAGCTATTCCACCAAAAAAGTCTGTTCAACATTTGAAATATCTTTTGATTGATCAGTTTTTTTTTCTTCCTACTGCGCACTTTAGGATTGTAGCAATTATAATAGAACAGTTACTTTAGGCCTCAAATTATTTAAGACCGAAAGAAATGATATTATTTTAAAATAATGTAGTAATTATTAGTTTGACGTGATATATATACACACAGGTATTGAAAATTATTTAACTGTAATCTTATTTTTCATTTTAAAAAAGTTAAGAAAATAACACAATTATTTAAAACTCTATCACCCATTCCATTTCTACCAAAAAACAATACTATTGAAATTAGTGTCAAAATTAAATTTCATAAATTTAAAAATGGTTTATTAAAAATAATATTTTAATAAAGAGTTAATCATGTCCGTGTAAAATTTTTATATTAACAACTAATCAAATCTGTTAATAATATTTTTTTATTTTAATTTAATTAAATAAGTAAATAACTAGTTTTATATAGGTGATTAACTCGTTAATAAAAGAGTCGGTGATAAAATGTAAAATGTATAAAGGCACGTTGAAATAGAAAAGCCCATGCTGTGATCCTTGACAGTGTATTTGGCATGCTCCAGTCCTCAAACATCATCATTCTTTAACGAAGAATAGAGAGCACTTTTCATGTCATCTTGTCGTGTGACCGTGTTTTAAGTTAAGATGCTCGAATGAAGTCAAAAACGGCAAAATATTTGTCCATAACTTGTCACGTTGCATTTTTTAGCACAACGTATTACTTTTAATAATGTTTCACACCCTAAAGTTTTGTTTGCTACAGGATAAAAAAAATGATGAAGGAAAATAAATTTTTTTTTAAATGTCAATTTTCTCTTATTTGATCATGGAGAGGTAAGGGTCGGTTAAGATTTATACTCTGATACTTATAATAGCTTCTGTACCTGTCTGAAGGGCACACTAAGTCTTTTTGTAGTTCGAAGGCCGAACGAGACTCCCGATCCAATAATCCGATACGCCGAAGAGGGGGTTGGTACCTGCAAAAGGCACTCCAACGCTCAAGTCAGGACAAGCTCGAATCTCTAGGATAATTAATGAACAGTGACGTTACCTTTTGTCCTGAGCTATTTATACTGTCATTTATGGGCCCGGACCCCATGGGCCTCGCAGCATACTTACCGTATTAGGTAATACACCCTAATCAACTAATTAACCCCTAACTACTTGATTAAAGGTAATAAGTGACGATAGGCCGATCCAGGTGGCCGATTGGCATTCGGCTGCCTGGTTCTGCCATTCAATGGCCGACAGGGTGGTGGCCGACCTCCCTACCCGTACACTGCCCCCCAGCCTTGAAGAAAGATGGAGCTTTCTTTAAGGGTAAAATGGAGATAGTGGCCCTGGTAAGGTGAACGGTTGCACAATTGTAACCGTTGGATCGTGTGGATCGAACGGTTACACAAATTCAAAAGTTGCATTTTCCCGCCCATTTGATGAGCCTATAAATAGGCGAGTGGTAGGGTCATTCGCACGTATTGCTCTCAACCGAATTGGGGTAGCCGAAGATCTCCGAAGCCAATCTGACCAGGAACTGTTCTGCAAAGAAATTGGTAAGCTTTTATAATCATGGTTGATAGTTCTACAAGCTCTTCGGCCGACAGCTCTCGGTCGTCGTCATCCGAGGGGACATCGTCCAGTGAGTCAAGTCATCGAAGTACCGTTCGACTGTCGATTGATGCCGATGGACCGAATGAGGGCACTTCTTCTTCGGGGGAAACCTCTACTAGTAGGAGTGAAGAGGTTCAGGAAAAGACGAAGCGTGTCTCGAATTCTCGAATTCTTCAACTGACTTACTTGCTACACCTTAGGAGACTAATCACCAACACAAATGCATAACATAACATGTAATTGATTTACTGTTCATTGGTTCTCTCTAATTCTTCAACTGACTTACTTGCTACTCCTGGGAGGACTAATAACCAACACAAATTCACAGCATAACATGTAATTGGTTTACTATTTATTGGTTTTCTCTAATTCTTCAACTGACTTACTTGCTACACCTGGGCAGCCATACTGGCCCAATTTTTTTTTGGATGGTCTCCAAACCTACCATTGTGTGCATATACTACTCAACTTCATTATGGAAGCATCAGGCCCAAGTCACTATTGAATATTTGAATGTAGTTTCCTTTACTCTTTGCTTTTTGTTAACATAGATCTTATACATATTTGGTTGTTTAACTGGGTTTACTTTTGTGTATGCAAGAGAAAGCTCTGTATATCTTTTTTAATCTGAAACTCTTGTTTTCCAAATTTCAAAGAGTGGGGATCAAAATTGTACAAATACAAAATATATAAGGGAGCCAGAATTACGTTTAAAATATTTTTTTAATCCTAAAAATCTTGTTATTCAAAGTTGATTTAGGCCGAATTAATTTGTTGAATTGAATATATCTAGGGACCGAGCTCTTTCAATATTTATTATTATTATTATTATTATTATTTTCTGTTTATAAGATCCGAACTAAAACCTTATTCATCTGTAATGAAATTGTAGGTGATCCAACTTAAAATTAGGCTTAAAGTAAATTTTAAAATGAGATCATTTTTTTTTAGAGAAAATGAGATCATTTTAAACTAATTAAAATAAAATCCATTAAATTTATTTAAAACTCATGTTTTGTGCTTTTATGATAAAATTACTTACAAAAATATTAGATCACTTTCATCTATAATTTTTTTTATTAATAACAAAGTAAAATTATTTAATTATTGTCGAGACATTCCATCTTAAGTAATAATTTTACTTGTTTTAAAAATATTATTTGTGCTGAAACAACATGAATTCTTGATAATTAGGATATACTTGTCTATCCTATAAGAAATATGTTGGCTTTGCTCTATTCTAATATTCAAAGTATTAATGTTGAAAAGAATCATCTTAATGGTTACATCTAGCCCACCTTAATTGCGACTTCGTTATTTTAATTGCAGTCCTGAGGAGGTATATGCTAATACTGCGTTGATTAAAAATATAACTTGATTTGAACTTATAAATTTTGGACAATCCTTATCTTAAGTTTTTTTTTTTTATGAGATCGGGTTATATTTTATACTTGTATAACTGAAGCAATGACATAACTTAATATCCTTAAAATGGATATTTATTAACCATTGAGAATATTGGTGGTGATTATAAAATTCAAAGAAGCTAAAATACAACCATTTTCTTTTGATAAAATACGGTATCATCGAGAGGAGAAAGAAAAATTTTCATTCTTCTTGTTTCCACTGGATACTAAGAACAAAAACAATTTTTAAGGTCTGAATAGGCTCCATAAATATGTTGTTTCAGCTAATCAAGCCCATCATACACTACAATTTCTTTTGCATACATGCATGAGACATGTGATGGGGAGCAACACCAACTCACTAAGGTAATGAGCAATGAAAGATAAACCCTCCACTCGCAAGAATCAGTGAGCAATAATCTGGCTAATAGAATGTTTTCAGAAAGTTTATAATCTCAAATTTCGGCTGCTTTTTTAGAGAAAAAAATTTGTAAAAATAACTGTATGTTTAATATAACAGCTTAAATTTGCAAACTTTTTTTTTTTAATGAAAAAGAAAGCTATTTTTAAGAAGAAAACTTAAGGCTTATTATTTTTCAACAACTTTTTCTCTCTCTTTTTTGGTGTAAAAAGAAAACAACTTTTTTTCTTCTCTTAAGCTAATAAAAATCGATTTCTTTTTGTAATATTCAAATTAAATTAAACATTTTAAAATCATTTGTCAAAAAACTTACTCAAACAAAATTTTATTTTGATTATACTCAATTATTCAAATAATTTAATTTTCACAATTTTATCAAATATATTAGACAAAATTAAATGACATGAATAAAAAAAAAATACCAATATTTTCTATTCGGTAGTTCAACATTTAAGAACTCTACAATTAAGCCTATTTGACTTAGAGCAATTTAATGATAAATGATCTTCTAATAAATTTTTCAAAAAACGTGCAAGTAAAAATAAAGTGCACTGCAAAATTTTGTGTTGATTTTAGGGGACAGTAATTGATCTTAAAAGGTGACTAAACATCTTGAAAAAGGATATTCACAAAAGATTCTAATTAGTAAAAGATTATGACCGACAAAAAATTGAATGAAATGCAACTATTAAGACATTAAACAAAGAATATTACATAGAAATCTATATGAAAGAGACACAAATTAAAAGTACAAACCATTCATTATTAATATCAAACTCTATTATGATCAAAATAGGCATACAAGAGGATTCGAATAAATACACAAACGATGCTTAACAACCAACCAAACAACCAATATTTTATTTTTATTTTTATTTTTTATAAAAAAGTTTGTTTGGTAGGATATTTTATTTTAAAAACATAATTTATTTACATATTTTAATTAAAACAACTTATAATTTACATATTCAGTTATTTTTCTCTTTTCATTTTTTTGTCATTATTAATTTACTTAAGATTCTTTTTTTTAATGTTTTTTAATTTGGATTTGATTCTTCTAAAAATATAAGTGAGCTCACAATTGCTAATTATTAAATCAACAATTAAAAATTGTGATAAAATCAAATTTTTACAAATAAAATATAAAATTAATTATTATATCAACCATTAATTTTTGAATTAATAATTATATTATTACACTTTTTTTTAAAGTGCAATTCTCTCACTTTAAGGAAACATATTCTTTTGATTTAGAAACTATTTTTCCAACATGTTCTATTACTCTCATTATTTAATAAATAAATATATTATTCTACATTAATTTATTAATTAATTTTTACAAATCCGTTAATTTATAAGTTTTTTAATCGGTCGATGACTATAACTTGGTATCTTGTAATATATACATCTAACATGGACTTATATTCAACTACTATTTTTGATTAAACTAAATCATGTACTTCTATATATACCATTGGTTTTACTTTCATAAGATTTTAGGTTTCACATTATATGGAAAAAAAAAAGTGTTTTTAAACCCACGCATTGAATATAAATATAGTAAAAACCAAATGATACGGATTACAATATAAACCTACATAGAATTAGATACTAAAACCAAATCAATTGTCATGGATTACAACATAAACTTGCATAAAACTAAATACTACTACTACCAAACCAATTACAACATATTACAATATTAACCCACATAAAATTAAATACTTCTGTCAAACCAAAACTCACTTACGTGTTACATTAATTATAAGTCTAAACAGACAAAATATAATTACTATTACAGCAACAACTCAACGAGGTTCAATTAAAACTTGCAGTTGAATCTCAGAAGCCTCGTTAACATAATAAGCATAGAGAGGAAGGTTACTCTGCATGACAACGTTGCGACGTTTAAGGGTGATGAGGTTTGAAGGAATGGCCCAATATCTCTCAACTTTGCTGAGTAGGTCACTCACCCTATCCGTCTCTTTCACCCTCACAAACCCATCACTACCCTCACACTTCACCAAGACATGGAGTTTGTGATGAGGTGGAAGTGGCGTGACAGTGAGATACAGCGTTTCCCACGTTCGAAAGTCATGGTCGTCGATGTATTCACGGTCTCTCAACATTCTGTTGTGGTGCCAGAGGCTTTGCCTGTAAACTTCCACGTCCAACTCCTTCTCAATCTTCTGTTTCAGATCCAAAATGGTGTCTGATAACGTCATTTCTATGTGGGGCACTATCTCTCCACCAGTTATTTTGAAATACACCATAGTTTTGTTTTTTGAGCAAGTTTTGTTATACCTTTTTTTAACTATTTTATGATGAGTACGTAGAAATATTAAGGGATGGTGAATGTATGTGTAATAGTTAGGTTTTGTTACATTTCATGAGCTGTTGCAAGATCATCTCTCTTTTCTTGCGACCTACTTCGCTCACGCCGAGGTCTATCAGACCGATTCTGCGCATGCCGATCGTTGTGTCGATACTGGGACGAGAAGCGGGGACGATATGAAGCTGGCCGATCCACAAAATTGTGCAACTTGCCTTGCTTGACCAAATCTTCAATTTTATCTTTTAAGGCGGCACACTCTTCAGTTGAGTGTCCGCGGTTTCGGTTATACCTGCAGGTTTTGCTGGTATCGGCGCGTGGCGGAGTGGAAGCTCTCTTTGGAACCGCCAACACTTCTGCTGCCAAAGCCTGCTCCAGTATCGCTGCCCGGCTTGCATTAAGAGGAGTGTAATTGAAGTATTTGGGACCTCGCACGGGTCGGTCCCGAAGAGCTATTTCTTTGCCTCGCCCCCTGTATGTATGTTCGATTGGCTTCTCGGGTTTGGCCGGCTGGTCAGCCCGAGCTTGACTTCGAAATTCGGCCAACTCCTCCATTTGCATATATTTATCCGCTCTTCTGCGCAGATCATTCATATCTGAAGGAGGCTTCTTGCATAGGCTATTGACGAATGGCCCTGGTTTTAAAGCCGTCATCAGGTGATGAAGTGCTACCGCCGGGTTAAGATCTCGGATTTCCAAGGCTGCCTTGTTGAACCGATCCATGAAAGTCCGCAGCGATTCTTTCTTATCTTGCCGAAGGCTAACCAACGACAAAGATGTCAGGCTATGAGGACGGCTAGTTGCGAACTGGACTGTGAATTGAGATGACAGAGTATTGAATGAGTCGATCGAGTTAGGGGGTAGCCGAGTGAACCAGCTCAACGCCCTACCCTTAAGGGATGTGGGGAAAATGTGACACAATGCAGCATCATCCGTAGTACTCAGGGTTACTTGCGTAAGAAAAACATCAAGATGTTCATCAGGATCAGTGGTACCATCATATTTATCAATGGGTAAAGATTTCCAATTGTCCAGAAGAGAGAGTTGCATTATGGAGGGGGTGAAAGGGTGTCGGTGTGAGCCGATGGTTGTCAAATCTGCAGGCCGACCGACAGTGGGTAAGGCCGAGGGGTGCTTTTCAGGTGCTACTGCCGAGGCACGAGGGACCGATGTATGGATCGTATGGGACTGGTGCGACCCTTGGGTTTGCGTATTGGTGACCTGAGTAGGTTTCCATGAGGTGTCTTGATTCCTTAGTGCCTCATTCTCAGCTTTCAAGGCCGAAAGCTCCTTAGCGTCTTTTTCTCGCTGTTGTTTCATAGCCTCCATCTCTTGTTTCAATAGACGGACGGTTTCAGAAAGGTTGGTTTCATCCACCACCTCGACATGTTCTTCTTCGTGTTGCTGATCTACCGTGTTCGTCCTCCTTGTTATCGCCATTGTCTTGCTCGATTAATCTTCTAAGATCGTCTCGGTTCGGCCCCACGGTGGGCGCCAAATGTACCTGTCTGAAGGGCACACTAAGTCTTCTAGTAGTCCGAAGGCCGAACGAGACTCCCGACCCAGTAATCCGATACGCTGAAGAGGGGGTTGGTACCTGCAAAAGGCACTCCAACGCTCAAGTCAGGACAAGCTCGAATCTCTAGGATAATTAATGAACAGTGACGTTACCTTTTGTCCTGAGCTATTTATACTGTCATTTATGGGCCCGGACCCCATGGGCCTCGCAGCATACTTACCGTATTAGGTAATACACCCTAATCAACTAATTAATCCCTAATTACTTGATTAAAGGTAATAAGTGACGATAGGCCGATCCAGGTGGCCGATTGGCATTCGGCTGCCTGGTTCTGCCATTCAATGGCCGACAGGGTGGTGGCCGACCTCCCTACCCGTACAGCTTCCATTTTGAATTGCACTATCTCAGTTTAGAAATTCTTACAAAATTTTGTTTCAATGCTAATTTTCTTAGTTTATTCATAATGCAGTCAGCCTAATATAATTAGACGTAAAACAAATTTTAATGTAAGTTCTTTATAAAACTTTAAAAAATAATAGAAAAATTCTGTCTTTAAAATAAAAATAATCTTTTCTCTAATAATATTAAAATTTTAATTATAAAAAATACACTTAATTATTATTATACTAAATAAACTAATAATAAAACTTGTACAATACTAATATATATATTGTATATTATTTTGGAGGCTTAAAATAAGAGATTTTTCTTATTTTATGGTTGGATCGATCAACTGTCATTCAATTATAAATTATTATTTATATAAATTTGTTAACTTTTACAAATAAGTATGTTAAAAATAATATCAAATATGAATTTTAATTGGATATCAATATTTAGTATAATACTATTAAATTCATTTATTTATTTCAGTTTTTATCTTAATTTTATGGATCGCACAATTGATTCTTTATCTTTATATTTGCATTTTTATTTTAACTTTGAATATTATTATTTATGAATTATCATTTTAAAATAATAAATATAAAATTTTAAAATAAGAAAATAACATATGTAATAAATAATGTAATTAAAAATTATAACGACTCGATATTATTATAGTTCAGTCTCAACACAATAAAAAGAATAGACAACGTCAACTTACCCAATATTCTCATCTAACAATTACTTAGTCATCCATGAGATTTATACCACATAGAGAACATATCATACCACATAGGCAACATGAAAAACTTATTCTCTCATCAAAAACAACATGCATTCAATCTATAACAAGAATCATCATACTCCACTGCCAAGACATCTTCCACAAAACCAGCATGCAACTTAACAAGTTTAGCAAGGATTCATTCAACAACCAACAAGAAATGAATTAACACAATCTATTAGGTGCTACAATTCATCAAAATTCCGAAAACCAAGCTTCCCTTACTTACCTTTAGTCGATCCAATCGAAGTGAGGAGAAGGGAAGGAAGCGAAACCATACAACTTTGACTTGCCTTTCTTGGTTTTGCAAGCTTTAAACCACCAACAATCCACTTCAATTAGTTATAAGAAGAGATGGAGATGAATTAGAGGAATGAGTACGAAAAAAATAGTTTTTCTCAAGTTCGAAAGACATTTTCTTTTTAACTTTTCATTAATTTTTCTTAAAACATGAATTTATGAAATTCACCTCTTAAAAAAATCTTATATACTCAACTAACTCATAACTAAATTTGACTTAAAGACAATCTAATTCTTAATGGCTCCTAATTCCTCATAATCCTAAAATCAAACTAACAATTAAATCATATAATTAAGATATTGAAAGTTTATGATGTTACAATATAGACATTTTAATAGAAACAATCGCTCATTTTTATTGATAAAAAAAAATAGAAAGCACCCGTTTGATATGTTTTTCTTCGCATTATATAATTTAATATTATTTTATCTATTTATTTCTTTGAGTTGGGGGTGTCCGTAAAATATTATTAAAAAATAAATATTCGTTTGTAAAAAGTGTGCACAAAATTAGAAATCCGTGTGTTCACCCCGTGCATTTGTGTTGAATATTTTATAAAACAAAACCCGTCCTCTCAATTGCTGAGGCATCACCAACCACCTGTTCATCTGATTCGGTAACGAAGGAACTTACTCAATGAATGATTTATCATTTTTCTTTTAAGGTTCATGATATATAACCTCTTTTTTTTGTTTTTTTATAAGTATACCTCCTTTTTTAAAAAAATATAAATTATTATAATTTTTTTTTAAAAAAAATTAATTTTACACTTTCAACTTTCAATTTACTACTTTCTTCTTCTTATTCACACATTCTTTTTCTTTCAATTTTCACATGTTACCAAAGTAGGTAGAGTGAATGAAAAATAAGGGGGTGCATATAAAAATTTAAAAAAGAGAGGAAAATGTGTGAAAAAAAAGTACTAAATTAAATGTTGTGGGTGTAAAATTAAAAAAATTAAAACAAAAAATTAAGAATATTTTAAAATTTTAATTATTTTTTTTAAAAGGAGGTGTACTTATAAAAAAAAAAGGAGATGTATATATCATGAACCTTCTTTTAATTGAAAGCCCCTCTTCTTCCCCTTTTGAGAGGCCCACCAAGAAGCCCAAAAAAAAGGCATACCAACTCATCCACTTCCACTTCTCACCAAATCTTTCTCCATCTTCCTCCCCTTCTTCTCCAAGTAAGCCCAAAACAGCATTGTGTTTCAGTTTCACCCCCACAAACCCAAAAAGGATCATCAAAGCTTGAAACTTGAAGCCCCAAAGGCCCAGGAAGTGACGAGCCTCACATAATGGCCCAGGAGCCTCTTATTCCCGGCTTAAAGAAGGTACCATTCACTATAAACTATAAACTATTATCACTATACTTTTGACATAACCATTGTTGCTCAGGCAAATAAATAAATAAAATACGTTTATTTATTTATTTAAATTAGAATTGCTCTTGCATTGTCACTGGGCACCTACGCGTGGCAACATTGAAATCCATGTCTTAACACGAACATGGTCCCAGGCTGTCTGGTAGGTGATAATATTAAAAATTAATGATATTAGTGGGATGTGTCTGTAATCTGTATCGTTGCACGGATACCCAAACATGATTGAAATTGAGATGTACATCAAATGTTCCACGTAAAATATCAAAATATTACTTCTTGCTTTTGTATTAAATGCTCCATATATACTTTCTCTAGCTCTAGCCCCCCACATATTTGACTTCAGATGAATATTATAGAGCATCACGGTCCACCATCTGCCAAATCTCTCACGCTGTCTACTTAGGTTTTGTATTGGTGCAATTCAGTTCTCTATGACCCTCTTGCTTTCATGTTTGTCTCCTTCCTTGCCTTGTCTATGAATAATGTTAGTAGTTACTTATACTTTTATATAGGAAAATATCTCTTAATTTTTAAGATTATAAATAAAACAAAAAAGACAAATTAAATGAATGGTTGTAGATAATTATTTTAAAAATTTTGAGTAGTTATTTAATTTATTTTTTAACAAATAAAGAGTTTGATTATCTACTAAAAATAAAGACTAAAACCGGTTAAACTCCACCTATTTTTTTTATAATAAGTATCGATTTAGTTATCCACTTAAATTAAGTAATGTAAAAATGTAACAAAAATATAATATATCATTAATCAATTATATATTAAATATAAATTATTATAATGTGTAACATTTTTGAGATCTTTCTTTTCAAGAAATGGTTAGTAGAAATTAATTTAACATTTTATATAATTTAATTTTATTTATTATAATTATTATAAATTAAATTTTAATATTTAAAAATCAATCACCAATAAAAAAATCTTTTACTTCAATATAAATTATTTATCATATTTTTATGCAAATCAAATCCCCATTCCTTTATACATTACAAGTATAAAGAAAAAATTTATTTTTTCGATCTATTAAGGAATAACACGCAAGTATATGATAGAAATATCATATATATTAAATGTGATATTTAAAGTTTTCATCTTAGACATATAAAATATTTAGTTTGAAGGATTGTCATGCATTTTCTACTTTTTGTATCGTCTTTGACATTTAATATATATATATATATATAATTTTTTTTTTACTTTTATAAGGTAATTGAAGTAGCTTTTAATTTATAAATTTTTTTTATTTTTTTTATTTTTCATCTTCATTAATTTACTTGAGATTATTTTTTTTACTTTTTTATTTTTAAAAACTCTTTTGCATTCTTATCATTCTCGCACTCACATTATTAAATAAATATGTTATCTTATGTTATTTTATAATAATCAATTAATCTTATTAAATACTTTTAACTTTATCAATTAGTTTATTCAATCAGTAGTAGTTAATAAGCTTGCAAATAACTTATAAATTTTTAAGTAATTAATAAAATATTTTTTTTGTTCGACAAAAAAATATAATTCTACCTCATATAGTTTTTTCTTATAAAAATAAATGGTGCATTGACTGCATATGTGACAATTGAGCATACCCATAATATTTAAATACGAATAAAGAATAAAATTCATAAGTCTGCTTCTATTAAAGGAAAAAAGTTGAAGATAAATAATGAAATATAATCAAATGGATTTCACTTGTTTATATATATATATTGTCCCTTTTTTTTCTGTCTTACTCTACCAATCATAATATAATCTTAATAATTAATTAAGCCTTTGTCTTTTGTTATTTCGATCAAGTTACTCTTTTTATAAAAAAAATTAAAGACTTAACTAACTCCATTAAGAAATAACATATGAATTGTTTTGCTCTTTACCTACTAGTTCAAGTCCCCGACATTACTTAAGTCCATCGCCGGACACCGTAAATCAACCGTGTAATGATAATTTCGATATAAATTATGGATTTTTTTTTTTTGTTTTTATAATGGATAGTAGTATTCAATCATTGAATTGAGTTGAATTGAGCGCGCGTGTCATGAAGATAAAAAAA